GTAATAAAGTTTCCAATAGTATATATGTATGTAAAAATCCCTTGTTTGGGCGGTACATTTGTATAAGAGTCCCTAGTACCCTTGTGTCAATATTCCCTTGAAGTAATTGGAAAATAATGCAAGCCCAAAAAGAATTGGATCAAAGTGAAAGCCCAAACCAAAATAACCTTACCAGGGCCCATATTCGATAGCTGTACAATTATGTTAAATGAAATTAATTCCTCCTTAAAAGGACAACCAACTAAGAAAAGGTCACAGTCTGAACTGCAATGCACGAGGTCACCTTTAATGATTTCATTGTCATTGTTACTCAATTGGACCTTCCTTACTTCCTTTTAACAATATAACAACAACACCAAACACCAACAATCCAGTAAAATTTTACTCGTAGATCTTTTTAACGATATAAAAAGAATAAATTGATTCATTAACAAACGACTTATTGATTCCATAAATGCAGCCTTAATCCTCTATATGAGGTAATGAAACTGTGAAAAATTTACGAAGTAGAGGCTAGTTAAATATTTGCTTACCGAAGTAAGGAAATAAGATAACTTTTTCTTGGAATATATCACACATAAATCTTCCCTTTCACGGTTACATAAATTACGAGTTTAATTTTCTATTCTTGTCATATATCATTGTGCTTTATATTTTATATAAAATCAGGATGAGAGATGAAGTCAATGTCTGAATTCCAAGCAGGCTTAGCTTGATCTAGCCTCTCAAATCGAGCGCTATCCGTCAGCGTTTGATTTGCACCAAAGACGAGGAAATATATATATATATATATATATATATATATATATATATATATATATACTAGATGAGGAAAGGCCCGTATACGGGCCCAACATTGTGATCGTAAAATTGTTGTCTGTCGGTGCTCAATTAGTTTTTTGATAAATAAATCGATCATTGTTATATCCATTTAATAGCTTATAGAGAATAATATTGGGGATCACAATTTACAATTAATTTATTTTAATAATTTACAAAAAATTAAACTATAAATTATAACCTGCTTAAGTTGCTCCAATTATTAACATAAAAAGACTATGTGGTATAAAACTCATTTTAACATCAATGTCAAATATAAACATCAAATTATAAAATTGATTGAATGGTATTATCTCCCCACTATATTTAAATTTTTAACAAGATAATACATTAAAGGTACACGTGTAATTTGTATTAACAATTTTTCTATAATAAAAAACTTACCAATCTATTTGTAAACTAATTTTTAATACATCCAACTTGGTCTTGCAAGCGTTTCAATATCAGCTACTTGATGAATGTTAAAACGAACAACATCATTCTTTACAATACGAGAAAAAATAAAAAATAAAAACTTATGATTTTACTTTATGTATTGTATACAATAAAATCAAGAGAAATTTTTAGTAATTTCAACAAAGAGAACTTCCAAGGGAACTTGCATCCCTAAAGAGGCAATTTAGTACTTCAAACAAAGAGAACCAACTGCACCAAACAAATATTAACATGACACAAATTGTAGTAATTCAATATAGTAGTTCAAATTATATTTTATTATAACTCGTTTAAAATGATGTTACTGGTGATAAGATAATAAATATCTTATAGACGTCTATATAAATTATAGGGATTTTAAGTTCTTCTTAATTAAGGATATAAGAGGAATATTTTTATTTTTTCTATATATTTATCATATGTTAATTTTTAGACGAGGAAAGGCTCGTATACGGCCCAACATTGTAATCGTAAAATTGTTGTCTGTCGGTGCTCAATTAGTTTTTTGATAAATAAATCGATCATTGTTATATCGATTTAATAGCTTATAGAGAATGATATTGGGGATCACAATTTACAATTAATTTATTTTAATAATTTACAAAAAATTAAACTATAAATTATAACCTGCTTAAGTTGCTCCAATTATTAACATAAAACCGATCTAATATAGTGGTATAAAACTCATTTTAACATCAATGTCAACTATAAACATCAAATTGTAAAGTTGATTGAATGGTATTATTTTCCCACTATATTTAAATTTTTAACAAGATAACACATTAAAGGTACACGTGTAATTTGTATTAACAATTTTTCTACAATAAAAAACTTACCGATCTATTTGTAAACTAATTTTGAATACATCCAACTTGGTCTTGCAAGCGTTGCAAATAGTGGGAACAATCAGCTACCTGATGAATGTTAAAACGAACAACATCATTCTTTACAATACGAGAAAAATGTTAAAAAAAACTTATGATTTTACTTTATGTATTGTATACAACAAAATCAAGAGAAATTTTTAGTACAGTCAACAAAGAGAACTTCCAAGGGGACTTGTATCCCTAAAGAGGTAATTTAGTACTTCAAACAAAGAGAACCAACTGCACTAAACAAATATTAACATGACACAAATTGTAGTAATTCAATATAGTAGTTCAAATTATATTTTATTATAACTCGTCTAAAATGATGTTACTGGTGATAAGATAATAAATATCTGATAGACGTCTATATAAATTATAGGGATTTTAAGTTCTTCTTAATTAAGGATATAAGAGGAATATTTTTATTTTTTTTATAGATTTATCATATGTTAATTTTTATAATAAAAAATATAAAATATTGTAAGACAATTTATAGATTGTTGAAAACTTATCATGGAAGAATGGAGTTCAAACCATATAAATCAAATTTTCACATCAATTAAGTACATAAGAGATAACCTCCTAGAACAGATGAACAAATACCATCACTTAAATTAACTTTTAAGGTTTAACAAACTATAATTTTTAAAATTACAGTTGAATATAAAACTTTTAGGTTTGAAATCACCTTCAAATAGTATGAATACATGAAAACCTTTTAATTTTATTTATTAAATTGTGTTAAAATAGAATGGGTAAATGTAAAAATCTTGTAAATATTTGTCTATATTTCATTTTGTTGCTGTATTATTTAAAAATAAAATTTACTTTTTCTGTGAAAACTTTTAGTTTGACTAAAACAAAAATTAATTATTTTATCAAATGAGAAAAAACATTCAAAATGAGTATGTGCATGGAGTAACTCTATGCAAAAGTAGTCTAATCAATAGTACATTTAAACTTTTAAAGGAGTGATGTGGTCAAGGGAATGTGGGGTCCACGTATATCAAGGAGGACACAATTTGCATTTAAGAAATGCAAACAATACAATAATTTTTTTTGAAATGACATATATACCCTTGGTTGGCCATCTTTCCTTTTCTATATATATATATATATATATATATGAGGAAAATTATTTTCGACTTTAATAAAAAGGTTATAAAGTTTCTTTTTTTTCCCCTCTCTCTCTCACCTCTTCTCAAATAAAATAAAATAAATTCTCTCAATTCTTTCACATTGTTGTTCTGTTTTATAAGATTGCATTACGGAGCTTCACGCAAATGACTGAGCTGACATGCAAACTATATCCCCCAGGCAAGTTGTTCACCTGAATGCCTCTGATTTTATGTGGAATTCCTAGTTGTCATTTGAAATTTTCTTTTCAAACACTTGCCATTATAGAGTTTTCATTTAACAATACCTCAAAGCATGCAACTCCATGTGTTCTATTTGTGAAACCTACTTTTTCCAATCAATTCTCTCCTAAAATTCACTCCGTTCTTAATTTTGATGTTTAATCAATCTATAAAATCATAATTGATTCCAATATATTTGGTTATGTGAAGGGGTCGAAATTACTGCACAAGAGAGAAACTTATTTATATCTTTTGGTTAAGTTTAATGCTATTGATCAAATTACACTTCTGTTTGTTTTGAAGACCCCGAGAAAGCTAACATCTCAGTCACTTTCATCAAGTGAATTTGCATAACAATCTCTTTTTACTTTCCTTCCTCTAGGGATTGTTCTTTTGACCCTGAACTATGATATCCAGTTCCAATTTTAACTTTTATACATTATATGTTGGCTCTATTTTCACAACATAGAAAGAGAAAAGAAAAAGCGATTCGCGACACCTTATAAGGTAGTGATGAATTAAATTACTCGTGTTGGCATTATGAATTGAATCAAATGCTCAATGGACAAAAGTTTTAGAGTTGAGACCAAGTTTTAACAGTCTTTCTCATGGCATAGGCTCGTGCTACACTTAAATGAAATCTACAACACAACTTTCTTTTAACGAATAGGAGCGAGGAAAGAATACAGTTGAGACAAAGGCCGTCAAGAACAACAACAACAACAACAACAACCACCCAGTAAAATCCCACATGTAAGGGGTCTGGGGAGAGTAGTATGTACGCATACCTTATCCCTACCCCGATGGAGTTGAGAGGTTGTTTCCGATAGACCCTCGGCTCAAGAAAACGAAAAAGATGAAAGAGACAATATATCAGTACCATCAACAGAAACCATAGAAATAATAACAGCATTATAAGAACCAGAAAATAGTTGAAACGCAATAACAATAACTAGTAAAGAAAAACGGGAGAATAGCGTGAACACAACATAAACCACTAGAAATCTAAGACAAACCCCTATCAGTCTATCCTCACATCCAGAACGAAGTAGAAAAATGCTCAACCACCTCCTAACCTACAACCCTAATGCTCGATCTCCACACCTAACAAAGGAAAGTGAAAAAATGGAGGAATCTCTGATTTTTCCTTTAACAAGTAAAAGGAGAGTATCAATGCCAGAATAAAAGATAAGAGAATAAAGTTGGAGAATAAAGGATAAAAAGCATCTTTATAGACATGCTCAAGTACCCTTTCCAATGCTCTTCTTTAGCTCTGGGAATCCCATTAGCTCCTGCTGAAAACATACATTAGCAGTATGAAATACAAGTGCTGGTGAACTCAGGCATCTTGCAACTTAAAAATGCCAAAGAATCTTAGAAAGCAAGTACAGAGAACATTAAAAGTCTAAAAGGCTTATCATAATCAGAAAAGGGGAAAATTCCCTTCCTTTCAAGTCCACAAAGACTAACTTTGTCATTAGAGATGTGCCACAAGATTACTTTTTCCAAATATGAATTTTCAACACCTCAGAAAGTACTTAATTTAAGTGGAATTCATGCGTTTAAACGAAGCAAATGGGCTAGTGTGCTTTCTACCAGCATGCTTTCAAGAATCTTTACACACTCATAATTTGCTAATCAAACCACAAAATGCTTCTGCTTTTTTCTGTCATGATTATCAATTCATTTTTTACCAAAGGCCAATTTTCATGGTTACAATCTAAAGTACAACAGCTGGCAGAATACAGGGCTGAACTCAGGATTAAATCCAGAATTCCTCACTTACGATTGCGAATAAACCACCAACTTTATACCAACTAGCTGAAACAACTCTTCCTTTTCTTCAACATCTAGTATTAGGAAGAAAATTTCTATCAGCAACATTCACTAGAAGGCAAGATTTCAGCTAGTTCCAGGAAAAAGTTGGTTAGTGAAATATTAAATCCCTGAGAGCTGATTTCACAGGAAGTCCAGTCCTCAAACAAGTACATTGTTCATCAGTCCTGAGTTCCAATCATTTTCTTCGTTTGCAACTGAGTTTTTGGAATACAACCAAATCGTCTCCTTCAGGTATTGTGAATTTGCTGAAGCTGCTATAGTTTTCACAAGTCTAATAAACACAAAAGGCTCTAGTTCCTTAAGGAACACTTGAGAGCTAGACGAGGGAAAACATGGGCGCTGAAGACGACTATAAAGCCAAAGAAACGAAACCTCAACTTGGGGAACGGTGGCCACACGGAGGATTTCGAGGTGGAGGTGGATGGATTAGCAGTGACCGAGTCACAAGCACTTATGATCTTGTGGAACAGATGCATTTTCTTTATGTTCGAGTTGTGAAAGCAAGAGACCTACCGCCAAATCCAGTAACAGGGAGTTGCGATCCATATGTGGAGGTGAAACTTGGAAACTATAAAGGCAAAACAAAGCACTTTGATAAGAAGGTAAACCCTGAATGGAAGCAAGTCTTTGCTTTTTCAAAAGAGAAGATTCAGTCTTCAATTCTCGAAGTTTTTGTAAGAGACAAGGATATGGTGCAGAGAGATGATTATCTAGGGAAAGTAGTTTTTGACATGAATGAAGTTCCTACAAGGGTTCCACCTGACAGCCCTTTGGCACCTCAGTGGTATAGATTAGTGGATCGCCGAGGGGAGAGCAAAGTCAGGGGAGAGGTCATGCTTGCAGTGTGGATGGGAACCCAAGCAGATGAAGCCTTCTCAGAAGCATGGCATGCGGATGCTGCTTCAGTTCAAGGAGAAGGTGTCCATAGTGTCAGATCAAAGGTATATGTTTCACCTAAACTGTGGTACCTGAGAGTCAATATCATTGAAGCGCAAGATGTCGAATCCCAAGACAAAAGCCAACCCCCACAGGTATTTGTGAAGTCTCAAGTCGGGAAGCAGGTACTAAAGACCAAAGTATGCCAAACACGAACAACTAATCCTTTCTGGAATGAAGACCTATTATTTGTGGTTGCAGAGCCTTTTGAGGAGCAATTGGTACTTACCATCGAATGTAAGGTCGATCCTTCCAAAGATGAGATCGCGGGGAGGATAGTCTTGCCACTTAACACCTTTGAGAAGCGATTGGATCACCGGGCAGTTCATTCTCGCTGGTTCAATCTTGAAAGGTTCGGGTTCGGAGTTCTAGAGGGAGACAGGAGGAATGAACTCAAATTTTCAACAAGAATCCATCTCAGAGGTTGCCTTGAAGGTGGATACCATGTACTAGATGAATCAACAATGTATATCAGCGATCAGCGGCCAACAGCAAGGCAGTTGTGGAAGCAACCAGTTGGAATCCTGGAAGTAGGCATCTTGAGTGCACAAGGGCTTGTCCCTATGAAACCTAAGGATGGAAGAAAAACCACAGATGCTTATTGTGTGGCTAAATATGGATTGAAGTGGGTAAGAACCAGAACTATACTTGATAGCTTGAGTCCTAAATGGAACGAACAATACACGTGGGAGGTTTATGACCCCTGCACAGTGATTACATTGGGTGTCTTCGACAACGGCCACCTAGGAGGGGAGAACTCAGCTGGTGGAAAGGACTCTCGGATTGGTAAGGTAAGGATCAGATTATCAACACTAGAAACTGATCGAATTTATACAATGTCTTATCCACTTCTTGTTTTACAACCATCTGGAGTGAAGAAAATGGGTGAACTCCAACTGGCTTTTAGATTTACTTGTTTGTCTCTTGCAAACATCATATATCTCTATGGCCATCCCTTGCTCCCAAAGATGCATTATCTACATCCTTTCACGGTAAACCAAGTGGACAGTTTGAGATATCAGGCCATGAATATTGTAGCTGTGAGGCTCGGACGAGCTGAGCCACCACTGCACAAAGAGGTTGTGGAGTACATGCTGGATGTAGACTCCCACATGTGGAGCATGAGAAGAAGTAAAGCTAACTTCTTCAGAATCGTTTCTCTGTTCTCAGGTGTAATTTCCATGAGCAAGTGGCTTGAAGAAGTTTGCAAATGGAAGAACCCAATCACCACTATGCTCGTTCATGTTCTCTTTTGCATATTGATCTGCTACCCAGAATTAATACTACCAACCACATTCCTTTATATGTTTCTCATTGGAATATGGAACTACCGCTCCCGACCTAGGCAGCCTCCACATATGGACACAAAACTATCTTGGGCTGAAGCAGTTAACCCAGACGAACTGGACGAAGAGTTTGACACTTTCCCCACATCGAAGGCTGAGAATATAGTTAAAATGAGGTATGACAGACTTAGAAGTGTGTCTGGTAGAATCCAAACGGTCATCGGGGACATGGCAACTCAAGGGGAGAGACTCCAGTCTCTGCTAAGTTGGAGAGATCCAAGGGCAACCAGCCTCTTCGTAGTCTTCTGTCTTATCACAGCAGTGATACTGTATGTGACACCTTTCAAAATCATAGCTCTAGTTGCAGGTCTGGTTTACCTAAGGCACCCAAGATTCAGGAGCAAAATGCCTTCACCACCAATCAACTTCTTCAGAAGATTGCCTGCTCGAGCTGATAGCATGCTCTGAAACAAATAAATAAAGTAGACGAGTTTTTAATGTTTTTAGCTGAACATCAGTGATGTATTCTCCATTTTTCTGTTTCAAAAGTTTGTATGATTATGATATTTTTCTGCTTTTAGTCAAACATTAATATGAAATGCTCAGAAATGTCCCAAGAAGTATTCTTTGCAAATTAACAGAATAGTAAGATGAAGAAGAATCATTGATTAAATAACGTATATGTAACATATCACCGTAAGAAGTTTCCTTTAAATACAGTCTTAGTTAAAGTGAAAGCCATAGAACGGCAAGAGTATAGTGTTTTACAAGAAGAAATGTAAAGTGTTTTACAAGAAGAAATGTAAAAGCAGAAACCTTGGCATATGGCCATTGGCCTCGCAGTGATCATCAAAACAACAAACCATGGAAAGGATGATTGAACTTGTGCAATTTTCTCTTGCTATTATCTTTCGATCTCACAGCATCAAACACGGACGATGTAAACCAAGTTCAAGCCTGTAATATGGTAAGTGCTGAACAAAGGCATGTACATGTAAAGAACACGCTAACCTAATCATTGCCACCATCTGCACAGCTTGAGCCCTCTAATTCATTCAGGCCTAGGAATGTAAATAGGGCAGGGCAGGGTAGGGCGGGGCAGGCCAAGCCTTGACCCGCCCTGCCCTGCCCTATTTAGTCTTTTGTCAAAATTTTGCCCTACCCTGCCCCGCCCTATTAAGCCCTGCCCCGCCCTGCCCCGTTTAGATTCTTTTTTATTTTTTTTTTATTTTTTATTTTGCAATATGCTTTTAATTTCTTTTACCTTTTCAACTTTCTGTTGAAACATTTAAAATATTGTTTTTCCATTGAGCTTGCATATTGATCAAAATTTGATCTTTCGTCTGTTGTATTGGAATTTATGCCAAGTTTTATATCTTTAGTAGATTAATTGATTGGTGTTTCTATTATTTGGATAGTACTGAGAGTTTATTAAAAAACTGATGAAATAGAAATACTAAATACAAAAAAATTAGCTCTAGTTTGGGTGGAGCAACTGCACATGTTAAGACAAACACAAATTAATAACATAAACACAACGCACAGTCATTGCATCTTATAGACATAAAACTAGAAGTACAAGACCAGTATAATCTCCAAAATAACGTGAAAGAAGTATTGGAGAATTCTTTAAATTCATAACAAGATTAAATATGCCTAACAGTTCCAAACTAAACCTTTGAAGGCCATGCCAAATAACTCTCGATCCTAAACTGTAAAACGTTGACCTGCTACCTGCCCTGCCCTATTTAAATTTTTTTTAAATGAAGTTTTGCCCTGCCCCGCCCTGCCCCGTCCTGTTTAGATGCTCCCCTGCCCTGCCCCATTAAAGCTTTGCCCTGCCCCGCCCCGCCCTGCCCCGCCCCATTTGCCATCCCTACATTCAGCTAAAGATTTTGATAGACTTTAAAGAAGATTTCTTTTAAAAAACAGAAGTTCAAAGAAGATTTAACTAGCATCAGATAGAAACAACCCAAGATTTGCTTGATGAGTAAAAGAGACCCTTTTCATTATTTTCCTTAATACAAAGAAAACCATATATCTTCTACTGCAACACTTCTGTTCCAACTCGGTAGGTAGGCGTAAAATAACAAAAATACTTCTCTTAGATGGCATCTGCCCATCAGAGGCGGATCTAGGATTTGTTGAACATGGGTGCACCAATAAAAAAAACTACAAAAAAACTATCGAGTGGGAATTGATCCATGTTCCTCAAGGCAAATAACCCAGTATTCAACCAAGCGCACCATTCAATCTTTTTAGAGCATGGGTGCCAAAAGATAATATTAAACTAATTCTAAAAAATATGTACATAAAATACCTAGTTTGACGGTAAGGCCATGGGTTCACGTGCCCCTTAATTGGGACAATAGATCCGCCCCTGCTGCCCATATCATTGAGTACTCTGAAAAATGTCTTATAACAAGCTCTAAATAAGATTTAAAGGAAGGTCTCTTCTTTTAAATTTAAAGGAATTTTTTAGTTGAATCAACCAATGTAGACACAAGCTAAATTCATCCAGATTAGCTTGGGAAATCATTTTTTACATCAAATAGCACCAGCTTGATTATTAAAATGAAGGCTCCAGTAGGTTGAATAAAAGGAATAACTAAGGATACAATTAAATTTAGAAGAGAAAGCTCTTAGGTTATTGGATTGATAAGGGATTAAGAAATTGATAATATTCAAACAATCAAAGAAAAGATGGATGTTCTGTGAGAAATGTAATACAGAGGTTAATGTTGTCAAAAAGTTCTAATCTTTATCAAACATACTTGTCAAGAACTACCAGTTTCTGATTCACTGAATCTATTAATGAAATATAATTTGCACAAACAATTAAGCAAAATTTAATACTCAGAATGCAGAAGCAAATTTCACATAGTGATCTCATGCACTTCAAATTGAGCTCGAGTTACTGATAACAAAAAGAAAACTAACAAACAGAAAAATTTGGATCAGTTACAACTAGTTGTCCTCGTTTTTGTTGACTGTAATCCTATTTATTCACTTCATCAATGAAATAACAACTCTAAGAGCAAGAAAATCTATAAGACTAACCTTAGGGTCATGGCGTCCTACACCACAGTTCATCTTCTCGTATCCAGCATCTTCAACTACTTCCACAGACTACAAAGACAGTAAAAGTTAATCTAAAAAAGTGGACATAATTTAGATTTTAGATTCAATATAAAACCATGACCCACGCCCAAATTAGAAAAAGGAAAAAAGAAAAAGTTACACTAATAAATAACTAGGTGTGTACTGGTGGGAGTAGCAGGTATTCAGTTGATTACTCCAAGTCTCCAAGTAGTAGATGCGTCCTGGACACCATCTTTATAAGAAAAATCACTTAAATTCATAAGTTGCTCAGGAAAACAACTTTGCAGTAATTGAAACTGAATCACTTTCATAAACTAATTGAAAAGTATTAAATAATTGAATCCAGACATTTGAGCCATCTAAGGAAATTTTATTTAAGTTGGAAATTTCATATTTAAATTGTTCTTTTTTCTTTTTGGAGTTACAAAAACTTCCCTAGTTTCTTCTATTTAATTCTGCAAGTTTCTTAATCGAGGTGGGCATAGTTCGGAAAAATGGAAATTCAAAATTTTCGAATTTTTGGTTTAGGTTGGATTACGGATCGAATTTTGAACTTAATTTTTAAAATTTTTGAAAACTTTCGAAACCTCGAGTACCCCTTTTTGGGGAAAAAAAAAGGGTGAAAATCTCACTTATTCCCATTAAATTCAAACTAGTTACCCTTTAATATTCAAGTCTAAAATCTTTTATTTTTTTTTTCCTACCTATGCGGCCGAGACTATTTACCCGGCCCACCCATTAGCTATTTGCATTCACATTTAAAATACAGAATGTAAAACATCCAGCTTCATTTTGCAAGGTTACTTAGTATCTATTACAATCTGATAACTAAATAATTTGGTCTTTCTTTATTTTAAGTTGCACATACGATTACTTAATATATTAAGTTTACCAGGTCTGATTTTTGTGTGTGTATGAAGACTCACCATTGTTGAGCTTGAAGCTCCTGCAATTGAAATTGTATTTTGAATATTTATTGTTTGATTCAATATGAGTGCTATAAAATATTGCTTATAGTACCTTCGAGTAACCTTCCCGGATCTGAATTTTTATATGTATTTGAATATCCACCATTGTTGGGCTTGAATCTCTTGAATTTAAAACTTTTTATTTTAAAGATTCTTGTTTGATTCAAAGCGAGTGTTATTAAATATTGCTTATAGTACCTTTTGAAAGTTCATAATGAAATCTGATCGTAGTTAGAGCTGATTTGAGGTGATTGAGATCGAATTTTTCAGCTGAAAATCAAATAAGAACTCAGTTACCCAATAGTATACTGCTACGGTGTACAATATAATGTAGGAGTATATAGTTATACTGCAACAGTATACTGTTAGTATATAATTACTGCAATGATATATTGTAATAACCGGAGAAGAACACAGTTACCTAACAATATAACGCTACGATATACAATATACTGTAGAAGTATATATCTATACTGCAACAGTATACTATCATAATATGCAATATACTATAATGGTGTATTATAATAATATGCAATATACTGCAATAGTATGTTGTAATAGTATACAATATACCATAATAGTATACTTCGACTGCTATTTGTTGAATCATCTAGGTGCTATTATGCAAAGCTAATGTCATGGTTATAGTAACATTATACTGTTATACTATACAATATAATATAACAGTATACCGTAATAAATAAGTCATTTTTAAAAAAAAATAATTTTTCCAAGTAGCTCCTTGCAAATATTTTCTTAAATGAATTTTTGAAGGAGTTCCATGAAAATAATATTCAATGTATAGGAAGTGGGTGTCGGAAGATATAAAATAGTAATATGCGGAAAATTTAAAAAAAAAAAGTTGAATGAAATTTGAAAAGGTGCGTGAAATTAAAATAATAAACAAAAGGAAAGAAAATAAAAATAAAAAAATGAAAAAAGATCCAATATGAGTATAAAACCAGATTATGATGAATAAAGAAAATAAAGAATAATATGAATCTAAAAAAATATATGAACAGAATAAAATATAATAAATAAAAACGAGAAAACATAAAAAGAGAAAAGAAAGAAAAGAAAAAAAAAGCAGAGAAATAAAATAGAAAATGAGAAAAAAAGAAGAAGAAATAATTACCCACAAAAGCTGCAATGGATAGGAATAATAATTAGTTTGGTGGGTAGAAAAACCAATAAGTAGGCAGGGGTAATTAATTTAGCTTTTATAGGTAAAGCTATAAAAAAAATTCCTTTTTTGTCAAACCTCAAATACCTTATACAGTTATATTTGGCTTTATAGCTCTATCCAATAAACACTACCCATGCCAAATCCATTCGTAAATTAATCAATTCATTCGTAAACTAAATCACCGAATACCAATTTGTAAGTAATTTTTTTACGCAATCAATCACCAATATTCAATATCCCTCTATCGCTAATAAAGCTGAGATTGAACGTTCTTGATTTGCATTTTTCTCATTTGTGCTAAGAAAATAATTGCATTATTTTGAT